TGAAATGGTTGAAATCCAGTAAGTTTGCTTCCTCTTCTTTACAGCATCTTACAGACCCTGGATGTCTTGAAGGTGTTGCAGACTTTCACAATACTTTCAACCATCAAAGGGGAGAACCAAAAGGCTTCTGGAGTGAGCTGAGTCCCAAGGGAAGGTTGAGCTGGCTCTGCAGCTTAAGCTGTGGGCTATACCAACCTGCCTCTGGCTACTGAGACGAGTGGAGTAAAGGCACATACACAGAGAACTGCATCTTTCCAGAATTAAATAAAATGCCATTGTTAATTATAAGTAGCAATAAGTAGTTCAGTAGCTTTCAATGCTCAGATACTATGTGCTGAGAAAGGCATTAGAGATAGCACAGAATAGAGACTGAATACAGTACACTTCTGCGGGGACACAGCCCATCTTTATTAAGAAGCCCTTTGCATTAAGCCTACCTATTTGCAAACCAATTTCTATATTCCTTCTGTCAAAATCCAAACTGAGGGAAGCCCTGTTTCAAATAATACAGTCTTATCTGGGAGAAGCTTGTGGGAGATTTGTTTTTGAACGCTCCCATTCCACTACATGTGGTAAATAAACATATTTAACCACACAGTGAACCCCTACAGCTCTTGCAGCTCTGAGCCCTAGCTCTCATCAGCCCTGCTCCTGCACGCACGGGGTTTTTTTTTGGGGGTGAGGTCCGTTCCAGCCTCGATTAAAGAGGTTGTTGGCCAGCACACACCAAGTAATTGGCCCCGGGACACTGACCCACATACGGCTGAGAGTGGTGGCAGCTCGGAGCATGTCCTTGTCCAAGTGCTTTGGACATGTGCTGCTGGCCTGTGAATCTTGAGTCACGGAAACTCATTTTCCTCAACCTGTAACTTCTGCAAGCTTGTTCCTAATCATTGTTTTCTACTGATGCTGCTGCACCCTTAAATGGGATTGCTGATTCAGTTACCAATTTTTTTCCTGAAAAACTTGGCTGAGGTTTCAAATACTGCTTTAAAATGTGTGGCTGGACACACAGTATATAAATATATTGATTTTTTTCTCTCAGGAGATCAATGTTTACATTTGGAATAGGTCCTACATAAAAGGCATCAAGTCACTTCACCCTAATCCACCCTTAGTGGCATTCCCGCACACCACAGCACAAGAACCCTTTTTTTTTTTTTTTGGGGGGGGGGGGCAGCCCCAAGTAGCCACCACGTGAAAGGACGGGTGCACAAGGAGGGCTGAATGTGGAAACAGGCACCGTGCCTACTTCTACCAGCTTTCAGTCTTCCTCTTTCAATGGTGGGAAGTGACTTGAGCCCTTAAGGAACCGAAACCCACAAAACTTCATAGCCCTGCCCCTCGCCGTTGTTATTGCATATGCGCTTGTTAAGCAGCATCACAGCAGCAACGAACTGCACGACTTCTGCTCATCAGACACATGTCCGACCAGCTGACTGACCAGCATCTCTGTGCAAATTAGAGGCTGCTGTATCCTGCTGTTTCTGTAACGCAGCAAGGAAAAGTCTGTGCGGATCTGGGTCAGAGCAGCCCTCTGGGCAGCTCCCTCGCTGGGTGAACACCACAGACCCGACAAAGCCCCCTCAGGTTAGGAACCGTCTGCACTCGGTCCTGTTTTATTCTCCAGCTGCTTTGGATTTTCTATTTACAGAGCTGGGCTGATCTTCAGCAACTGGTGAAAATGAGATAAAGATTTGTACACAAACTGAAATTTATATGAAGGCTTCAGAGGGATGCTAATGGCAAACCAGTTGGCTGTGTGTATTTCACATGTTGGTGCCACAGAAGGAGAAACAATGGGTTGCCATGCTGATGAAATCTGCAATTAAATCCATCTTCTCAGCACACTGGAATGTATATCTTGTGAGTATAAAAACGCTGTACAAGAACCACTCCTAACTGCCAAGAAATGCTGTGATTGAAAAGAATTAATGATGTCATTAATGGTCTCACCTCCAGGCTCGACACTTTGTACACACAGGTTATAGGCATATTATGGAGACTGGGGTTAATATTCAGTTTGCTGAAGACCAGCCTGTCTCACTGAACTGGAATACCTGTTGGCTGCCCCACTGGCAACTACCTCTTACAGAATCATAGAATTGTTTGGGTTGGAAAAGACCTTCAAGATCATCAAGTCCAACCGTTAACCCAGCACTGCCAAGTCCACCACTCTTCCTACCTCCTTTCTGGAAAAAGAAAGGCCAAAAAAGAAGAGAACAAGAGGCCGTACTCTGCTGCAGCTGCAGAGTGCTGAGGGCAGCCTGGGGGAAAGGTTTATTCTGGTTGTATTTGTGCTCACCTGAGCCCAGGTCATTTGGGTCTGGGGGGGCTTCACCCACAGTGGGGAGGGGGAAGTTGAAGCCTCAACCGTTCTGTCTCAGCAGCTGGGGCCAGCCAGAGGAAACCGAGGCCCTGTTCCCCAAACCAGCTGCAGAGGAGGGTGGGATTCGAAAGCCACTGTGTTGGCTATACGCCATTCGAAGTCCTGTGTACATGTACGTAAATGCGTTTGTGCTGCTGGATGTTCTTCCTCAGCCAGATAGGAAACACCTATGTTTCATGGTATGTAACTTTGGTTCGTGGACAAACACAGTAAATGAAATAACACATTTTGGTCTACTCTGAAAAAGATTCTGTATGAAAACACCTGAAATACCCATTAGCTGCTCTGGTTCCAAGTAAATCCTAAGGACTGAAAAGGCAAGTGTGTGTGTGTGTGTGTGTGTGTGGTTAGCTGGCTGGCTTTCCTACTACCCTCTCTCGTCCCCCTTCCCTTTTCACAATCCCATGACTGCAAAGCCCAAACCCACCATCTAATACTGCTATATCTTGTCTTCTGCTCAGTAGTGTTTTCTTTTACATGTAGCTTCACCCAAACCAAAAGTGTCATGATGCCAAATGTTTCTGAGGAATTACGTGATTCTGTTTCATATTTCCCACCAGCTGAATGCAGCTTTTCCTACTGTAGCTTTTCCTAAGTTACAATGTTTTGGTTTCTCTCCCTATTGCTAGTCTAGAGAGGGAGCTCAGGCATATTTTTATGCAAAGTACCTTTTCAGTTTCAGTATATAAACGTGGTACCATCTGTTAAGTCTATCAGTGATAAAGTGTGATGCATCTGATAGTGTCCAGCTTCCTTTTCATGGAGCAGATTTTATAAATCTGCATAGCAGCTCTTCTGGAAACACAAGAAATTCAAATGAAAATGCTAACTGGAGTTTAGCATGTGTTTTTGTGTGAGTCATATTTTTTGTGACTTATTTGCACAATAATATGTTGCTAGAATGAGCATTATATGAGCCACATATACTCTTGAGAAGAGCAAGTGTTAGCCACTTTATAACAAAATGAGTCTTTTGCACTATTAATTTCGTAGGTTTCTTTTTTTTGTAGTAAGTATTTTTGCTATTCCAATTTTAGTTGCATTTTTTTAATAAGCTTGAGACTTCCTTGCTATGCTTAGTCAATGAAATACCAGACCCACCTGGGGTAAAGCCAAGCTAATGCTTGCATCTGAGAAATTTAAAGAGCACATCCCTTGTGGCACCGGACAGATCTACGTATTTATTACATTCATACATATTTCTTAAAGGTGCAAAGAATATCAACTATACAGCTGTGAACATATAAAGTCAGAATGTTAAATTGTATTTCTAAATCCCTAATATCACTTCCAACAGCACCTTAAAATACCCTATCTGTTTTTTTGTTTGTGGGTTGTTGTTTTTTTCCCCTCCAATTTTGAATTAGCTTCAATAATCTAATCTACCTCTTTTGTCACAATAACTTTCCTTGTTCATGTTGTCAAATGTGTTGTCTGGAAGCAACATCCCTGGTGTCACTGTGGCTCTTTGGGACTTCTCTAATCTAATGCATAATTGCTCCGCAGAGAAAGAGCAAGAACTATTCTGAAATAAAACCCAACATGAGAAATACAAGAATGACAGCGCTGCACTGTGAGAAACTTGCAGAAAAGTGTGAGAAGAGGGCAAATATATCAGCATACTTTCCAAGAAGTCCAAGGCTCAGGGGACTAGTTGAGCCACCGTATGTTTTTCATACCTTGATTTGTCTGATCTTATTCTGAGCTCCTTTTGGCCTTGTGCCCCGCACAGCAGGTGGGGGTATGGGCCATGGGCTGGACCATGAACCTGGGTGTGATGTTTCACATGAGCCCTTTCCATCTGCGCTGGGTGATGCTACATCTCCCCTTCATCCGGTACCTGCCACCTCCAGCCCTCTTGCCCGCGAGGTTTGCATAACAGCAAATAAATCCTCGCTCCTTGTGCCTTTTTGCTGCCTGGGGTGACAGTCCTTTACACTGTCCCTCCCAGGAGGGATTGTTTGTATCTATTTACCTGTTCTACAACATCCTTTTTGAGATAGGGCAGCAGAAGTGAATGCATGCTTCCAGAGGTGGTAGGCATCAAAAGTGGCAAAGAAAGCTTTAGATTTCTGGTTTTTCTATTCCTTTCTTAGCATTTCATTTACTTCTTTGACCAGAACTGAGCAGTAAGCTAATATTTTCACAGGTCTATCTACTACAGCTACAAGATCCCTTTTTCAGGTGGTCACATTTAGTTCAGAGTCCACTGCAGTGTCTGTGAAACAAGATTGTGCTTCCTCTGTGCCCACCACTTAAAACTTATCACCACAGAGTTTCTCTGCCATCTCATTACTCAGTTATTCAGTGCCATGAGTTCCTTCTGCAAAGTATTCTTGGCTGATTGTTTTCCTTATTTTGACTGACATTGCAAAAAAAGTTCTTGTTAGGTTTCCTTCCCCTTCCCAGATCTTTTATGAATGTACCGTACAGCATGGGTCTCACTGTTGTAAAGACTGATAATTTATCCTTATTCTCTATTTCCTAGCGACAGGTCTGTAGTTTCCTGCCTGGTCTGTAGTTGCCTAGATCTCTTCTAAAGCCAGGCCTCCCAACAAGACACATTCCACCCATGGCCAAGGGTAGACTTTATAAACGGTAATGCACTTACCTTAAAAGCCAAAATGATGCTTATGAAAAGGAGAATAATCACAACCAGACACGTAGGGTTCACAGACATGATCTCTTCCTTTTGGTGGGCTGCATAAGCAAAAATAAGCAAAACACTGTAAGTTCATCTCACGAGCCATTTAAGAGCCACTCAGTTAGTGCACTCTATAATTAACAGCTTACAAAACTTGCTGTGAGCTACTAAATCGGGAGCTCTCTGCACCAATAACCAGTTTCAGTAAGTTTGGCTGGAACAGGCATTGCAAAGACTCAGCTGCCAAATGTTCACCGGAGGGCTGAGGGGTTTGCTGTTTGCTTTGTATGTGGTGCGGGCTGTCTTTTCCTCTGTGCACACTGGGTTTGTATCTGACACAAACTAGCAGAGGACTTTTCTCTGGGAGCTTTGCAGCAGGAAATCTGCCATCTTGGGCAATGGCAGGCGAGTCCTATACTTATTAACTAATCATTACCTTGTACTGGCACTGGTTGCTTTCCTTCCAGAAAGTCAAATCAGGAAAAGCTGGACAGCTTGATCCTTTCACTTAAATATTTGATCAAAAGACATTGGGTCTATTCTGCTCCATCTTATTTTGGCTAAATTTGGACTTCTTCTCCCAGGAGCACTTGTTAGTGCTGCTGCCTGAGTGCATGCCCTGTGGAGGCATGGGTGCTACAGGGGGGGCAATGGCATGATTTCAAACCAAAATGTGCTCCAGGTCCTTCTCTTATCTCATACATGAAATAGAGGTGACAAAATTAATCTTCCTACTTAGGGTAGGCTCTAGTGATTTACAATTGTGAAACACTTTAGGATCACTGGCTGAAAAACAACCTCTAAAAATGTTTTACTATCTTTGTTATTGCTTGAAGAAAACACACTCTTTAAAATAAATGTTCCAAATAGTTTTGAAATATCGCAAGGCACAAGTTCCTGTTGCAGTTAGAATAAACCTTTGTTCACAGACAGAGCTGTTCTCCATAAAAGATAGTGCCGCTGCAACAGTAGCTCATTATAACTGAATGCATTAGCTCCTTCCACACACAACCCCCTCTTTCCTTACAGGTCTAATTAGTTAACCAGGCCAGCTCTGCATCCTTGTCAGGACAATTAACTAGACCGAGCTATAACTCTATTCTTGGCCATGATGGTGTAAATCCAGAGTAACCCCTTAATACCCTTTATACCAGAACACAGCCCACTGCATCAGGAAATTCTCCTTTTTTCAGACAGCTGCTAGTGAGAATAGCTCTTTATTTAGTGCTTCCATGAACTGTTCAGAGTGGTTAACATCAACGGCAGCTGTAACCGTTTGCAGATAAATGTTACGTAAGCACATTTTCTGCTTCTTGACAGCAGCGTATCTGTTCCTGTACTGAATTTCATGGCTGAAGTTTTTATCATGTTATCATCTTTGTTGAGGTACAGCTTTTGTAGGAAACTAGCTTGCTATAATTCAATAAGTTGCTGCCTTTTTTTTTTTTTTCCACAGAAGGTTACTGCTAAATATAGTGGATGCGGTCACCCGGAGACCAAGAAAGCAAGAATATATGCCAAGAAAAGGTGCACTGAAAAATAAACAGAAACCTTATATGCAGAAAATTTAAGTATTAATGCCACAGCCTGCCCTCCTGCAAGCAGGAGGGAGGCCATGCACGTGGTTAGAAAGTCCAGCCAGTTAAGGACAGTTACAGTAAAACTGCACCAAAACAGTTTTTTTAGCACTGACCATTAAAAAACTAGACAAACTAGTTTGTGAATGTAATAAAAACTCCTAGTGAGGCTTTGGTCCTCCTATGCTCTGGTTTTCGGGGAGCTGGTTATAGATGGGGTCTTGGTCGTGGCCATGACCTAATAGCCTGTTTCCAGATGTCAACTCTGCTGGGATTTGCACAGGGGCAAGAGGAGGGCGGGGGGAAATGACCAAGAAAGGTCCCACTACCTTGAAGAGCAGGAACATATGCCGTGGCCAAGTCTGGGAGCAGCATGTGCCACAGAGCAGCACTGGGCCCTCCCTGACATCATCAGTGTTCCAGGTGAAAGGATGGTAATTCAGCACTGAAAGCCACAAGCCAGGAGAGCACATGAGGAGAAAACACTGCAGTTTGTCCCCTTCATGCTCAGCTTTATGGCTTTCTGTCCTCAAGAGATATGAGGTACAAGCAAACCCCAGTGGGGCAGTGGGTGCTGCACCCACACAGTGGTCATCCCACCCACAGATGTCCAGGAGATCTTGGTGCGGGCCATGAAAACTAAAGCTTCCCCCACCTGGGGCTTCCCAGCTTGCTGTATGGGAGAAAAAGCTTTTGGGACTGTGATGAATAGCCCAGGGGCAGCGGGTCAGTGTGGAAGAAGCTCCTGGTGTTTGCTAACCGGCTGGTGGCACCTGCTGACCAGAAGGCGTTTAATGCTGGCTTGCCCAGGCTGGCCTATGAGCCACCTAATCTGGACTGATAACTACAAACCTCTTCAGTGCAGAAGGAAAAGCAATTTATAAAACCTGCAGCTTTTGGAAAAGAAGCAGGAAAGATGATGGGAAGCATCGCGGTTGGCTCCAGGCTCACCTGGTGCGGGCACCGTTATGGAGCTGGTGCCACCAAGTGTCCCTTAGGGTCCGCCCAGGACAGCAGCTGCTCCCAAAGTTTTGTTCACTCCCATGGAAAACAGGTAACAACAGCATCTCAGATGAATCAAACACCCATTGCTCTCCACCGACTGCAGTGATAAACACTGATGTGGGAAGAGAAATCCTGCTCCTGTGCTGGGGGTTTGCTCTCCTGTGGGGAGACCAGTAGCTGAAATCCTGCTGCTGGGAAGGCCCTGAGCACCGGGCTCAGTGCTGCAACTTCTGGGAAAAGCTCAGTGTTAAATGTTGTGCAAGGTTTGATGAAGCTGAGACTGAAATATTGCTGGGTGGGAAAGTCAAGCTTGTTGTTGAAAATACAGGAGCGAGGTCAGGTTGGACGGGGCTCTGAGCAACCTGATCTAGTTGAAGATGTCCCTGCTCATTGCAGGGGGGTTGGACTAGATGACCTTTAAAGTGCCTTCCAACCCAAACCATTCTGTAATTCTGTCATTCTGTGATTTTGCAGCAGGACATGATGAAATTTTCTATACAAACAAGAGGTAGTTGTAGTGGTGTGGCACCAGCACGCTAAAGTCAGAATTAAAGTGTCATTTATAACTTTGTCATGGACACGGAGAGGACTGCATACATAATAATATACCTGGTAAACTTTTAATTTATAAAAAAAGAATACTGTTTATACATAGCAAAGCTCTATTAGACACTTAAAAATAATCTAATACTTGCATAGAAAGTATATTTCTACTGCATCAACATTGTACAAATGCACAAGAATAAAAAGTCCAAAGCTGAAGCCCTTTCTCATTCCCTCGGCTCATTTGCATAATCTTTCACATTTTCCTTCCCCTTGGATCACGAAAACTCCTCTTTAAAAGATGGTGTGGATTCTTATTCAACAGTTACAATCCTCTGAGTATCTGAATCTTACAAAATGTAAAGAAAACAGTAAGGGGCCTGTAGAATTTTTAAAGCTCTGCTATGAAGTTAGTAGTACTTCTTCTTTGGAATTATAAAATGGCATTAAAAGTGTGAGAAAGAATATTCCTCTATTAAGCTTTAGTTTATAGGAATTTCTTTAGGTTTAATCTCTTTTATGTTCTCTAGACATTTCCCTTAGGATTTAAAAGCATGACTGATACCACCTGAATTGTTAGCAGCATTGCACATAGTCCCATAGTAAAGCTATTTAATCTCTTTGAAATTTCCTTTAGATGAACTGTAATAGTTTCGTACTTTAATAAGAAGCAAGTTTGCATAACTCAGTTGTGGACTAGCCTGTTCTGCAGCTCTGCTTCAATTCATTTTGTATATTGTTATCAGATGACAGAAGATGAAGTGTTTAATTTGAAGGCTTTAGAAAGCCCATATATCAAAGATTTAGTGGGGCTAAAGAGAAAAAATATGCTTTAGGTCAAATTGCTTTAGACGACTACTGCTCCAAGAACCAAAACGATTTTTGTTTTACACACACTTGATTTACTGTATGTGAAGGTTTTTGTTTTTCTGGTGACAGTGATAATGACCAAGGTGTCTGACATAACCCTTAGAAAGTTATATCAGATGTCATTGCCATACAACATTTCAAATGCTAGATTTGTAACATCTACTTATTCTACATGACCCTTCATGCTGAGATGCTCTTGCAATTTAGGGGAATTAAGTGGCACACCTGTGTGCAACTGGCTATTAAAAGGCAACAAAAAGTTTCCACAGACACTCCGAAAGAAGCAGCCAGTATAGGCTGATGTTACCAAATAGCCTGTGAACACAATGTTCTGTATTTTACAATTGCAAAATTTTCAGCTAAGGCTCTGCCTACGCTATTGATAGGTACTCATTTATCATCCTGCTACAAGTGCATGGAGGGTTTCACAGTAGCTTGCAATTCACCGCTGATAGACTGAAATCTGGCAGATGTGCACCAAAGTGAATAGATAAAATAGTTCCAGATACTAGTGTAGGGAAGTAGAAATAGTAAAAAACATGAGGTTTTCACCTTAGAGTAATAATAAAAAAGTAGAATTCTTCTGAGACTGCCAAATATATTCCATTACCTAATGCATCCCTTCTTCCAGATATTCAATAATGGATTTGAGGAATGATCGGAATTTTTTATTTCCCTTATGGAGCTGTACTCCCTAAAATATTGTTCCCCCAATTCAAAGTGGTTTTAGAGGAACAAAAACTGTAAGAATGCCAGGGAGCAAAGTAACCCTTGCTTTCTGCCTACCTTGGCAAAGGGGGTGGGGGCAAGATGACGCTAGGGCTTATTTATAAATCATCAGGAGGGATCACACCCAACTGGCATGACTCAGATCTCACCTGCGGGACAAGGGTATTAACCGCAGTCTTGTTCTAAATGTGGCGTTTGAGATGACAAACCTATCTATCTACCATGAGTATTATTAAAAGGCAGGGAAATGAGTGCATGGGTACGAGCCTGCTTAACCGTATTTGAGCACTAGCATTGCATTGATGGCATTATTGCTAAAAATTTGAAAAACTTGGTTTTGGTTTCATCTTGTCGCGTGTCCGAATATCTGATAGCAGCGGATGTGATCTTCACCTCTCCCTTTCACTTTTGCCCCCTCAGACAGAGTCTTTTTGCTCTGAACCAAATGCAACAACCTTTTGCCAACTGATGTGGCCCTTCCAGGTAAGGGCACGAGGGCTTCTTTTTCCTGCTGAGCCACTTGTGCTTGGGAACATAACTAAGACACGGAGGCATAAACAGCTTCAAAGCGGATGCAGAACAGCTTCAAAACAGCTTCAAAACTTTGTTGAACAGGTGACATCATTAACCGTACAAAATTCGTCACAGCTTTTGGTAGTTTTTGCCAGTCACTGATCTCCACTGTGAATGATAAAATAGAAATGACATCTTGTTTCTAAATGAACTTAACTTGTACTCGCTTTTAGCTACTCATTATATTATGCCTCTCATCTAATTTAAAAGCCTTTTAATACCGTGTTATTCTGCGTATGAAAACTCTAACAGCATCACTTCTTGGTGTCCTTTCTTCGTAAATGAAGCAGGAAAAGCTGATTTTCTCTCACCATACTACAATGTATCCAGCTTTTATATAGTTTTTGGAGGAATTTTTCTGCATGTTCTCTGACTTTTAAGCATTGTTCTTTATGACCAGACATCAAAAACAGACAGATAAAACCTCTGTCACCGACTGAGAAGGGAAGTCTCCTCTCCATTACTATTCATTGATGGGTTATTTTGTCCACAAACCCCATGAGCAGTTTTTGGAAACCTGGGGACTCTTGATTTGGCACTTAGTTCCCTAGACTGCTTACAGAGTCACTGCATCCCAGGTACAGTCGCCATACTGTATGCTCATCTGTACTCATGTTTTCACATTTCTTGGCATTTAGCAATGTAGCACACATTAATGACTGAACTCAGTCAGTCTAGCTCACTCTGATTAATGGCTCCATCCTTAGTGTTATTTACATGTACATTAATCTCTGTGTCAGCCACGGCTGTTATTAGAAGTGATTTTGCCGGGAAACATCACAAGTACTAACTCTGGGAAATGCAGAGATGTGCTTGCTTTGGGCAACGCAGGGACAGGGTCTTGCAGGGATGACACAGGACAGCTAGATTAGGCTCCTGCTTGCACCCTCCTGCTAGAGGACTCGATCCCTCTAGACAGAGGGCCTGGGGAAGCTCTCCCAAGGCTGACGTTAGCCTTTGTGAATGGCCTCTTGGGTACCAAGGTTATTAATGGAACTCAGGAAGCGCATGAAATCAAGTGCTGATTCCTAGAGACCTTCCTCTACCCAAAATAGAAACTCATTGGGAGATGATCGGCTTGACCACGACCCTTTGCAGCCTGCCAGCTAACCTCTCCTAATCCATTTGATACATCCTTTATTGATCTAGTGCTTTATTTTTGCTCTGTGCATCATGCTGCAAAGTCAAACGTCTTGCAAAAGTCTATTATGCCCCTGCCCATCTTTATTGCCAAAGTCAGTAATCTTGTCGGTGAAAGAAAATGAGTTTGCCTGCAGGACTGATTCTCCGTGAAACTGTGCTGGCAGTCATTAATCATATTCCTCTGGTCTAATCCTTTATCAATTGACTCTCCTCTCAGCACTTCGGTTATTATTCTGCTTGGTAGCAATGTCAGGCTAATCAGCCTGTAATTATCCTGGAAATCCCCCTTGCCCTTTTGAGCATTGACAGTTTAGCACTTCTGAAGTCTTGCAGCATTTCATTACCAGTCCAGAAAATGATTTACAACAGCAAGAAAAAGATGTGCGCAACCAGAGGTTTTAACACTCCACAGTAGCAATGTGGCTAACGAAGTGCTCTGCTGCACCGTTCTCAATACCTTCCAAGGCCTGCTCCTTGTATTTCTGCTACAGAAGGGCCTGCTGGTTTTTTATCTGCAGGAACAACAGTGATGTTTCAGCAGACATTTTGAGAAAATCAGCTGCTCTTTGCCCTCCTGGTGAGCCAGCCTCAGATGCGGCACCAGGTTTTCAGCACAAGAACAGGGGCTTTTTGGTGCACAGCTCCCAGCCTACTCCCATCCCCTCACACTGTTGTACAGCAACTAAGAGTAAAACCTGGTTACAACTCATGCTCTGGGAACGCGGGGAGGTCCTGCAGCCACGCAGACACTTGTGCTGCCACAAGAGCAGGGCTACCACGGATGCAGAAGCGAGGGACTGCAGGTGAAGGATGGGCAGGAGGGCTCCAGGCAGCGGCAGTGCCAGCTTCCAGCACTCGCCGAGCTATGGCCATAATTTTCTCTTTTCCACTTGTATCTCTGAGAACCTCTTGAATTATTCCTCAGCTTCTCTTCTGGTGTAGCATCAGCCATGAATGCAGGCGGGTGTTAAATAAGGCAACGGATAACAGGCCCCTGATGCATCCCAGCTCCTGCTGGCTTGACACATTGCCTCTTCCTGCAGATTTGTGTGGCTACTTATCTGCCTGCTGTTTCTCATTACCTGTTATTTATATTGCCCTAGCTAGTTTTCCATCCACATAACAAAGTTCACAGCCAAGCTAATCTGTATTCGGGTTCTCTAGGCAGATTTTCAGAGACAGAAGCAGCATTAGTTTCTCCAGAGCTCTGCGACTCCACCCAAACCTTGTTGGACATGGCCAAAGTACTGCAATGAGTCAGAGGCTGGTGGGCTCTTGTTTTTGCTGTAGGTGGTTGCAATCACATCCTGTAAGCTTGCACAATGCTGGTGTCCTGGTTTCGGCTGAGATATAGAGAGTTTTCTTCCTAGTTGCTGGTATGGTGCTGTGTTTTGGATTTAGGCTGAGAATAATGTTGACAAAACACTGATATTTTGGCTGTTGCTAGGCAATGTTTACACTAGGTCAAGGACTTTTCAGCTTCTCGTACTGCCCCACCAGTGAGGAGGCTCGCGGTGCACAAGAAGTTGGAAGAGGACACAGCCAGGACAGCTGACTCAACTTGGCCAAAGGGATAGTCCATACCATATGACATCATGCTCAGTATATAACTTGGGGGGAAGCTGGCTGGGGGTTTAGACCACAGCTCGGGAACTAGCTGGGCATCAGTGGTCTGCAGGTGGTGAGCAATTGTGCTGTGCATCACTTGTTTTGTATATTCTTTTATCATTATTGTTATTGCTGTTGTTATTATTATTATCCTTGTTATTATTATCTTCCTTTTCTGTCACATTAAACTGTCTTTAACTCAACCCATGAGTTTTACTTTTTTTTCCAGATTCTCTCCCTCATCCCACTGGTGGGGGGGAAGTGAGTGAAGGGCTGTGTGGTTGTTTTAGCTGCCTTCTAGGTTAAAACTGTAGCAACGAGCTATGGATGCTTGGCCAAAGTAGACCACGGCAAGAAGACAGTCTCTATTTGTCCCTAAAACAGAATCCGTTGATGTTTTCTAGCAAAAACAAACCTACATTGACTCAAACTCCTGCCTAAAGAAATCTATGTTAAAGCCACCAAATAAATTAAAAGGAGCAACAAAACATCCTTGAAATAGCACCAGAAATAAGCCACTGGATATGAACACAATAACTCTGAATCCAAAAGCAATTACTTATTATCTATGTCTTGCAATATGAGTCTCATTCTAAATGAAGTGGTGCTGAGAGCTTCCGCAACATTGCAAAATTCCAGAGCTCTGTATAAATATTGTAATAAGTTAGTAATGTAACCTTGCAAGGATGTTGAATACAGACTAGTGAGGACCGAGAGGACTTTTCAAGGACTGCATAGGAAGTTAACAGGAAAATGTTGGCTAGAAATACAGGACAAACTGTGCACCTTGCACAGTTTTTTTTTGCCCCAAAGCCCCCAAAGGCTTGTGAACATCAAGTGACTTACCAGCTGGCGGAGGTAGTCCTGAATTGTGCTGGGGTAGACGAGTACACTGATGGCAACCAACGTGTTGAGAGCAAAGTCAAAGATCTGATAACAGAAGAAAGGGATGATCCAAGCTGCATGTTGCTGAAAAGAAAATAAGAACTCATCAGCCACAAGCTAAAATAGAAGGATGTATGTTTTTCTGCACTAAAATCGAAGGAATATTTGACACAATGTATTACATTTCATGAAGCCGTAACAGAAAAGAACTTGTTAAATCAGCTAAAAGAAATATGACATGCAGCCAAAAGGGTTGGCCAAGCTAGCTTGGCTGCTGAACTGCAGTAATATGTGAGCTGTTAAGTCCCACAACTCATTATACTAGGACATTTAGAAACCACATGACAGTTTTCCCCCTAACTAATAGGATTAATATTGGGACAAACCACAGGCTTGGGAGGTGAATGGGAAAAAATTCCCTTAAATTTGGTAGGAACAAGATTCAGTTCTCTGAACTCACAGCTTGCCCAGAGTTTACTCATATTTGAAACTGCAGTCAGTGAACAGAAGTGGGCAGTCTTCCTGCCTGCAGCACGGGTCCCTGGGGTACCACTGATCTCAGCAATCAGTTCTGCTGTCTCTTCTCTTCCCAGGCCCCCCCCACAGTTTTCAGCTAAATAACTAAACAAGAAATTGTTAGAAAGCAATTTTCTTAATTTTTTTTCTAGAGAGTTGTATAGTTCACTTGATTCATGTTTTCACTGAATACAATGAATTACCTTATATGCGCCATATGTAGCCATTGCACAGATCAGAATCATAAGAAGAGAAATTGCCGTGGCAATGCACATATCTGGAAGAGAAACACATCAAAATGATTGCAAATAAATCCAGAGCTTGGCTCGGTTATTTTGCCATCTGCCTCGTGCCGGGCATCTTGAAGGGCAGAGTGGGAAGTGAGGTGGAGATGAGGGCAAGTGCGTCGTTCAGCTATTGCTGGAGGAAATCTCTGGATCTTGTGGGAAACCTCCTAAACAGGAGAAGCACAGTAAGTGATTACACTGCGCAAGCCTCTGCAGCCTCTGTGAGGTTGTGGAGATACCATAAATGGTTTAATTTTTCTGAGGATTTTTAAAAATCAGGAGCAGACTTGACTAGAAGACTATACTGCTGGTGGTGATATCTGTAGTCAGAAAGTGTCTGTCCGCTTTCCTGCACTACGGATTGTTTCTGCACTAATAGCTGCTCTATACCATTGTTCACTTATCTTTAAAAAACTTTGGAAAAGGAGAAATGAATTTTTAAAAGCAAAACTGGCAGGTAGAGGCATCTTAGAACAGAAATATCATATCTGAAATTTTCATTTCAACCAAGAATACTACAGAGATATACAGGTTATTAATGAAGATGTATAACTGTCAGGAAGGGTGAAGTGGTAAAGGAAGCAAAATATTCTTTAAGGTTTTGATTGGAGCAATTACAGGACTCCCATCTTTTTCTTCTATTGCTGCTCAGCTTTCAATTAACTTTTCATTAGATTTAAGAAGTTCCTAAGCTGCTGAAAGCTGGAAGGAGATCCTGGGAAAAAGAATTACATATGTTTGGTTCTTTCCTGTGTACCTCCCTTGCTGTCATTACAGGCCATAGCAGGATACCAGAAGCATATTTGTGAACCAGACCTTACAGTGAGTTCGGGAGTGCAACTGGGCATTGCAACTACTCTTCTGAGGCTAAGCCAGTGCACAGAGGAGAGAAGATGAGGTATGTAGGACACGACTTTAGAGAACCCAGCTCTGTGGGTCTCTGTGACATACCTGCTGTTCACATTGCTGTCAACAGGTGTATTGAAACTACCTACCTTGATGAGACATTTGATGGACTTAAGACACACAAATACATGATGGTGTTCAGGGTGTTCACTACCCATCACTGCCTGACTTTGGAGGCATTCAAAGTGTGAAGATGCCTCCACACTTCTTCACACTTTGAATGCCTCCATTTGATCACAGACTTGCCACAACATCTAACTCTAGCACATGACAAGCACAGCAAGGGTCAGTCCCTCCACCTCCCTGGCTGCATCAAAGTGAGGTTCTGGGTAGGTGTTCTGGGGCCTGCATCAAAGTCCCTGAAAGGTCCTGATCTGGTAGCTGTGGATAGGTCTCACCTACTGCCACCAGGCAGCAGTGCAGGTTCACCTGGGTCATGGCTGAAGAGGAAGGACAGACACTAAGTCTTGTCTGTAATTTTTTCCAGCCTACCAGTACGATCATTCATGTAGAAGACAAAGGACCCAGATCCTCCTCCCCCTGAGGGAACACAAACCTTGCACTAGCGCAGAATTCCTGCCAGCACTAGTCCAAACTTCTGCTGGCCCTCGATGCAGAGAGGAACCTGAGACTTGTGAAGCTGGCAGAAAAATTAGCAAGAGGAAACTGTCGCTGGCTGATGAGAGTGTCTCTGGAGAGTGCTTACGTACGTATGGCTACAGGCTCCTTGGGTACCATGCCTACCAACAGCAGGGTTAAGGACTTAGGAACCCAGGTCTCCCCTTTTCAAGGACACTGTCTGTGTCCTGGATTTCAGGACTCCTGCTATCTCACTCTTGCCCCCAAATTTTGTCCCTGTGATTGCACAGGGACTCAAATGCAACAGAATAAGCCCTATTGCAGACTACTTCCTAATTTAATGGATGGGGCCCCTCTCCTGGGCACTTGGAGGAGCACTTTTAAACCACTGTAGTCTGATGAGGGCCTGGAGTCCAGATGTCCTTACTCACACAAATGCTTGAATCTTTGTTGTATTGTCAAAATAAGCAGGTCTGACCCAGGAGAGGCAGCAGCACTCACCGCTGAGGTTAGGTGCACCCCTGCGCTCACTGCTTCCTGCCCGGTGGCTTTATGCAGCTCGGCTTGTGGGTGCCTGGAAACGCCATGGGGAGGCAGCTGGGCTCCCCACTTAGAATTCAGGAGGGGATTACATCTTGGGGCATCCAAAATTGCTCTTCAGAGGCACCTCCTTCTCCTCCTTGCGTACAGAATCTAGGCATCCTGTGCAGGCGTCTGAGCTGCATTGCCATGACCAGTCTCCAGCTTTCCAGGAGCTGAAAGACTGTGCTGTGCCTGTTAGAGGTGATCTGAATTCTGCCCTCAAGAGGAAGAAGCACCCACAAAACAAACCTGTACTAATAAAAGGTACTGCAGCCTCTTCAGACACTCTTGACTGTGTGGGCATTTACTCTGGCTGCCTGCATACTTCCTGTGAGATCAAAACGATTTTTGAATAGACCAGGTACAATCGAGGTGATGAAAGAAAAGAAGTGGAAGTGGCTGCCTGTAGCCACTAACCTCAGTTGAACTTCTTGTAAAAGAGGCTCTTGGATCAATTTTTATTTTAACCATCAGTTTGAAGGCACTGCTCATGTATTTATTCTGTCCGTTCTTAAGCCCAGTCACCTACTCGCTGTACCCAAGGGGAAGCTGCTGTCATTGTCATCTGCAGCAGACGCAGCAGTCGCAGGCCTTGCTTTGCTCGTGATCGCAGCAGTACTGGTTCAGAGCCAGAGCCTAGCAAACTGCGATAAACTTGACATTGAAGCTCTGGTCTGACACACTCATGCTCCCCATCTCCGGTGTCTCTGTAGCTGTGCTTCGCCGTGCCAAGTCCTAGTTGGCTCAAGCTGGTTCTTTCTCACTTAAGGCTTCATTGGGTTTTTTGAGCTGTGTCGGCTTCAATTAATCAGAATGAAACTAGATATGTAGCACATTAAATGAGAAGCTAAGAGGGGTGTGTGAATTTTTTTTCCACCCACGCTGTACTTTCCACAGCACTCATGGCTAGAAGGGCTGTACTTGAACCACTGCAGTGGTTATACAGCCTATTGTCCTAGACGGCTTTTGGAGTTTTCTGCCTGAGTTCAAAGAAACCAGTTAGGTGTTTTCCCTCTTATACCTTACAGTGAGATCCTACCTTCCTGCTGCATCAGGGAGAAGATGCTACTGGGGCTGAGCAGAGCTCCTGCCATGGGGTGCTTGTGTGCACAGCAAGCCCTGCAGCTGGAGCTCCCTCGAACCCATCTCACAAGCATTTCCTTGCCTTCCCCTCCCCTCTTGCAGAGGAGGCTGGTGGCGGGCACTGTGGGGACAGGGAGGAGCAGCCAGCGAGGTCAGTCCCTGAGCCAGGACCTATGTGGAGTGATGGAGACCTCAAATGCTCCAGCTCATCACCTGGCCCAGCCCTGGAGTAAATCGCTGGCTTACAGCTCTGACAGCCAGGGCCCAGAAAGCTGCTGATCAGCAGCCTGCAATCCTCAGGCAGTTTTGCCCCCCCCCCCCAGCCTTATTTATCCAGCAGCCTGGCCTCCTTACGGCCCGCTAAGGATTACTGCCTCGCGCTCTCCTCCAAGCTGCTTGTGCAAGCTCGGTGCCACTGCTGCCAGCCACCACGCAGCCCCCTGGGTCACAACCCATGCGTCAGTGGTATTTTCTCTCTGGCAAAAGAAGGAGGCCAATGAGAAGGAAAGAGTTTTCTGCACCTTTGAGCCCAGCTCATTTATTCCAGAGGATAAGGCTAGAGGGGAAGAGGCAGCCCTGAGTACGCTGTGCTGCAGCAGAGATCCTGTTTTTTCCCCCTCCCTGTGATATGGGGCTCATGCTACCTGATGGATTGGGGTGGGAAGGGTACCTACTCTACCACTTCCCTTTATCCCCTAAGAGAAGTCCAAGCCTGCTGTTTGTAGGTTTCTTTATTAAATTTTTTCTACTTGAATTAATCTTTCTAAGCCACGGATGCATGTCACGTTCAGCAGAGAGACTGCCACATTATCCTGCCCTGCCCTGAGACTGCTGCTTGTCTCATCTGCCTGTCCCAGAGCAGGGACACAGGCGGATTTTGGCCTGAGTTGCTGACTTCGGTGTCAAAGTTTCCACCATTTTCTATGGAGCACGCATAGGATTTCAGTCCTTGTTATATGGCTTATGAAGTGTCACACACATCTGTGACACTGTGAAGGCAGCAAATAAACCCAAGCAACACTCACTGCTTGTTTGGGCTGTTGACATGTCAGGATCATGGTCTGTGTATCTGGAGAAGCTGAGCAGGAGGCTCAGGTGAAACCCTCTGGGAAATCAAAATGATTTATACGGCTCTTCCATCTCTGGCCTGGAGATTACCCGTCTTTTATAAGCAGCAGTGTTACACTGGGCAGCTCACACGTTTCTAATTTTTCCTAGTCCAGCTTCTAGTTCACAAACCCCCTCAGGTCCTAAGGAAATAATAAAAAGAAAGATGAGACTACACGGACTCAGCTGAATATCCTGCAAAGGAGGAAGCCCAGCGTTCCCCCCGGCTCACAGATGTACGTCTCCGAGAGCCAGCCAAACCACACACACTGGTGTCTTCCAGTACCTCCATCTGCCGCATGGCAAGTCTTGGCAGACTTTTTTTTCCCCTTGTTTCCTTTTAGAATAGAAGGAAAAAGCTATAACCTATGGCTTTTCCTAAGTGCTCAGGTAAATCCTTCCTCTGCTTAATCAAACAGGCTTTTTGGAGCCTCTGGTAACGCCCTGGGAACCAAACTAAATCCTGAAATTAAGGCTGAGCAGCCATTTGCAGAAGAACTGATGCTGCACTGGCATTTTCAAGCAGTTTGCAGTAGACTGGCTCTGGGTCTGCACGTGGTGGGAATTTTTCCCACTGTTGGAAGAGAAAATTGAAAATTCTCCATAAACCAGGCCTGAGCACAGCCAGAAATAAATATGAATACAAATATTGAGGAAATCCTGGTTTCTTGGAAGTCAAGGGAAATCTGTCATTAACTTCAGGTTAGGCATAATTCCACTACTGTGAATTAGCTGATAAGTTTATTTCCAGATGATATTTTCAGATCTTTTATGAAGGAGCCTATCTGAGGAGGGAGGGAAAGGGAGTGACAATCTGACATACAAACTCTATGTCTCCTTTTTTTTTTTTTTTGCTATTGACAGGAGCATCAAAAGTAGTAATGAGAATAACGGCTACGAGTATTTCCATCATTATTATTTGTCAACACAAGTACATATAGATAACAACTTTGGGATCTTCATTAGCATAAAAATTGATGTATTTTCCTGTATTTCATACACATAGTTTCACATCTAAGAATTTCAGCACATGCAGCTAACCTGGGAAAAATTTCTTCAATAAAGACAAATAAAAGTAGGACAAGAGAAGAGCATGGGGAAGTTTGTCTGATGTTTTACCTCGTAAGAAATAATTTCCTCAGATTTGAACAAATATAGTAATACTTAAAGAAAAAAAAGAAAAAAAAAAATCTCCTGCCAGCTATTTCCAGTAACTATAAAAGCCAGTCGCTTGATTCAGCTGCCTTTACTCAGTAAGGCATTAAACTGGAGGGAGTCAAAGAATAAAAGGAGACATTAATTCAAATGTTCATTCGTAATTTAACTGCCTGTGAAATGTTCCCTTTACCAAATGGAAATGAGGTCGCTTGGCCCACAAGCCATCCTTTTACAGTCTTGCAGGGTTCACTTCAGAAGCCTTGATAAAAAAAATATAGAAAATACAATTTTCAAGTGTAGATGGAAATCCCCAATGTACTTGATCTGACAGCTATTGCATTACAAAACAGAATTACTATTTTAAAGCCTTGGGCACTGGCAGGCCTCTGATGTCGGCTATATAAAACCACACTGACAGACAGTCATTACCAAGGTTAATCTCTGAGAATTAGGACAAGGCAGTCAGTTTTAATATGTCAGAATCAGCTAGGAGCCCATCTGTATCTACTATGAGCCTTACTTTCTTAAATCCAGTTATGTAAAAAGATTTTTAGTCAAAAGTTGTAGGCGGTTTTTCAATGAAGACACAATAAAGTAGCAATTACCCCTTATGATTAATTAAATGTAGACCCTCAAGGCATATCTGCGCTAAAGAGCTTGCGGAAATAAGCATCCCTTAGCTGATACCCAGCAGCTCTGACCCACCATGGGTACAATTATTTTTCTCACGTGTGGGGCTATCCCTTTTCCTGCTGGTATTTTTATTGACTT